AATGTGTTAACATTTACACTTACGCCGGCTATAGGGTGTTACCTATGAAAACAAGTATTCTTTGGCAGCCAAAAAGCTTAATTTCTGTGCTCAATATCATGTGTAGGAAAGCAATCCATCTCTGAAGAGATATGCGTTGAGTTGGTCTAACGTTTAAGGTATATGTCGTGTACTGGTATACACAGTTGTCACTGCTCATTAACACTTGATGTGGAATAAGTGATAATTTTGGAATAGATTAACAGTGTTTGGTAAAGTTGAAAAATAACTATTGTTTCAATTGGGAATTGTGCCACATATCAATCCAGTCTACAACTGGCAATTGCTGAAAGCAGTATTTTCAGGGCCTCGTTAAGCCCTGTTGTGGAATTAAAGGAAAATTTATCTCCAGAAACAGTGGATTGGGATAATAATGATTAACATTCTGGACCTGGAAGGCTGTGGGTTCAGATCCCGGGGCTGATAGTGTTGTACCCATAAGCAATGCACCTTAATTGTTCAATTAAAATACCCAACAGTTTTCATTTGCAGTAGATGCAAATGTAAGTTGCTCTTGATAACATTGTCAGTCAAAAAATGAGTTTGATACATTTCAGGCTATAGCTTTAAGTAAGGTTAGAGGACCCTTTTGACGTCTGTCAAAACAATGATTAAATTTGAGCTGGTGTTATTGATGTACCTGACAATGGTATTTTTGTCTTACCTTCATCATTTGGGGGGGTAGTGTTTGGTTTCCATGTAACATCAGGTCAAACAATAGCCACTACCCCCACATCAGTCCCATTACCTAGATTCAAACTGACATCTGTCTGAACTGTCAAACTGCATTAATTTGAGTATTTCAAACACAACTTCAACATTTTCAGATAAACCAGTTTAACGGTTCTTCTAACCCTACCTCAGCCCTTACCAGCTTAGTCTTTCCAATACGCGGCCTTAGATCCCATGTAAACTCCCGGTGCAAGAGCCAAATTAATATTTTAGAACATCGGCAGGGCACTGCGGAACGAGCTGGCGATAACACAGCAGCCAGCAGGTCAGTGCACCTGTCTTTCAGGCGGTTGCCGTGATTACATGCTCAGGCGGAAGTCTGTTCCTCCTGTGCTCCCTTCTTCCGCCACTGCTTTCTCATGCGGAGCCGATCTTTAATATTTTGATATTTCCAATTTAAGTAGTTCAGGTGGGTAGCTGCGTCAGCATGCATAGGCTGCAAAGGAACAAGTAATAGGTTTATTCCATGCTGAAAAAAAAGGAGAAAGAAAACGCAACATTTCGGCCATGGAGCCTTCTTCAGGTGGGAAAAAGTCAAGGCAGTCTTTCAAACACCTCCATGGCCAAAACGTTGTGTTTTCTTTCTTCTTTTTTTTCAGCATGGAATAAACCTATTACTTGTTTCTAATTTCAGGTCTGCCTTGGCAGTACTCTGGGCTCTGTCTTGAAGTTGTGCTCTGAGCCTAAGCTTCGTTCTCTAGTCCTCGTGTTCCTTGCCTGTGGAGGATTTGCCCTGGGTTCTTGACCATCACTTTGTTCTGACCTGGTCTCCTGAATTTACCCCTCGTGCTTTCGAATTGTGATCTCCTCGGTCCGAACTTCTGAGCGCGACTCTGGACTGCTTTTATCTGCTAGTTATCACCTCCGGAAGCCTGTTTGCCGGGCCTGCCTGTGCTCAGACGGTGCGGTGGCTCTGTGGCTGGAAGGTTGCCGGTTCAAATCCCGCGGCCGGCAGAGGAATCCTACTCCGTCGGGCCCCTGAGCAAGGCCCTTCACCCCAGCTGCTCCAGGGGCACCGTATAAATGGCTGACCCTGCGCTCTGACCCCCAGCTTCTCTCTCTGTCTGTGTGTCTCATGGAGAGCAAGCTGGGGTATGCGAAAAGACAAATTCAGAAAACAAGAAAATTGTATATGGCCAATAAATTGATCAGATCTTATCCTCTTATCTTGCCTGCTTTGTACTGAACTTCACACAACCCATGGGTGCTACTTAGCGCAAGTACAAGCAGTGACATTACAAACAGCGGTTTAAATCTTTTCGGTCTATACCAAATTGAAGTGTAAACATTACCCAGACAGGCATCAAATATGTCAACACTTGTAACTTACAACTAAGAATGCTACTTTACTGTGTAATTGATGTCAACACTTACAACTAAGAATGCTACTTTACTGTGAAATTGATGTCAACACTTACAACTAAGAATGCTACTTTACTGTTTAATTGAAGTAGTTTAATTGAATCCACTTTTTACTGCATTTTAACACTGTTCTTTAGTGAAAAAAGATCTAGAATTTTTCCAAGGCTAGAGATTGTGAAGTTGTCTTTGCATTTATTTTTTTAAAACTTCTAAATGGCACAGTGCCAGTCTTTAATTTTGAGATACAACTGGAAATGAAGGATGATATAAACGGATATCAAAAGCATAGATTGGGGGGGGGAGTTTTGTTTGTTTTTTTCCCAATTAAATTGTCATTAAAATAAACAGAACAATAAGGGAAATGAAAGTACATATTTGAAATAAGAAAATTGCCGATTCAGAAGCAGCATTTTTTTTTAATTATTCAATAGTCTTTTTGCTTTTTGTCAGGCCTAAACTCTGCATGTGTGATGAATTCTTAATAAGAAATGTGCTTTTAAAATAAATAAAAAAAAGTTAGGCTTCCGCTTGATGTATAATTTACACTTTGGTTTGTTTTCCTTAATCTTATTTTCTGCAGTTATTTGAATCCAAAATATGTTTTCCAATTAAAAGCAATTTGTTAAAAATGCTTAAATGTTTTCAGTGGTCCAGTCTAACTCCTGCTTCGCTGGAGGCACAGAGTAATGGTGTTTAAGAGACTCAGGGCCCATCATGAAATAAACTGAAGAAAAACGCCACCTGTACAGTATGTGTCCTCCTCCTACTTTGTGGAGCTGAAGTGGTGGCACTGTGGCCTAAGGATCTTCACCTGTGGCTGGAAGGTTGCCGGTTCAAATCCCGCGGCCGGCAGAGGAATCCTACTCCATTGGGCCCCTGTGCAAGGCCCTTCACCCCAGCTGCTCCAGGGGCGCTGTACAATAGCCGACCCCACGCTTTGACCCCCAGTTTCTCTCCCTGTCTGTGTGTCTCACAGAGAGCAAGCTGGGGTATGCGAAAGGACACATTCCTACTGCAAGAAATTGTATAGGGTCAATAAAGTGATCTTGTGTCTCTTTATCTCCTTTAACCTTTTCTGCAGATCTCTTCTGAAACCGCACAGCTGTTGAGGAGAGTGGGAGCAGGACGTCAGTCGTGCCCACTGTTACTTTTCAGAACCACTCTCACTTGAGCTGAACCTCTGCGAGGCCTCATAACCACATTTCTTTTTGCCTTTAAAGCTTCGGAGTAACAGAAATCTGCGAGGGGACACAGGCCAGCACTTTGCATAAATAAATAAAGCTGGAATCCATTAATTCCTCTCGTTGAAGCTGCCAATGTTTAAAAAATGCTGTAATGGGGAGGGGTTTTATGTACACCCTGTAGGTGTTTTAAATTTTTTTCAGTACCTTATATATGCTTGTGTTTTCTCAGAGCAGTTATTGGCCTTTTACTTTTTCGGCGTGTCTGTTCTCTCTGAATTGTCAAAGCAGCAGCGATGATCAGGAAATAGGAACCACACCTGCCTATCTAACTGAGAGGTGGACCTCAAGGGAAAAAAAAAAGAAAAGAAACGACTCATAAAGTTTCAATTCTGCTTCACCAGATGAAATATTTATGGCATTGTCGCCTGTTCTTTATCGCCAAAACATTACTGCGTTCCTTGCTTGATTCATTGCGTCGTTGAGAATTGCTTTGGGAAATTTAAAGACAGTCTCTCTTTAGGTCAGCTTTACCAAGCTACAGAGTTAAGAGTTATTTGTGACGCTAAGCAACAAATGAAAATGAGTGCAGGGCAGATTTTTAAACATTTACTGGCAGACCATGGCTTGTAATTAATACAGCGTGTGGATGCAGCACTCATTGAAATAGCTCATCCATTTTGATAATCGTTTTAGGAGATTGGGTTTGTATAAATTAGATGGCAAATTATCTTCTTTGTTTCGCAAAGAGTGGTTGTGAATCCCACAGTGTATTTGAGCAGATGGCATCCTCATGTTTTAGATCTACAGAATGACCGAATCAAGTTCGACAGCAACTCTGAAATTGACTTCATTTTCTTTTTCTGCTTTCTTCTGCTCTTTTAAATAGCACTAAAATATGATCAGAAGTTCCATAGATAAACCGTACTGGGAATAAAGTTAACTCTTCAGATTTTTGAGTTTCTAGAACAAAGCACAGGCATGACACAGGAAGAGATTGCTTGGCATCCTTTGTTTTAACAGTTTGACAACGCTCTCGCCAAATTGAGCTCGCACTCAAGATATGCAGCAAATTTTTAAAAAGACAAAGTGGCAAAGCTGTGACTGACGGCGTTTTCTTTTTTTTGTTGTTGCTGTTGTTGTTTAGCTCCGTCTCCTAGAAAGGATATGTCCTGTTTATTTTAGGCACCAATGGGTACTCAACTGTCCAGGGGAACGGGGTGACAGGGCTTTGGAAATGAAAAATACGGTGCCTACAAGATCTGAAAATTGATCTTTTTGCGCCGCTTCCATTCCTCTATGGATCGGTGCATTATTCTTCTGGGGTGTAATACAGTACAGCGCGAGCGTCCGAGACAAGCCCGTATTAAATGAAAAGCAAATGACAAATAATGCTGCCTTAAGAACTTCTGTTTCTTCTCAGTACATTTTGATTAATCATTTGGTTAAGGAGAAGTTGTTTCAAGATGTTTTGCTGCATATTACAGTATGTCATTTAATGAATAATGATTATTCTTTTTGTGTGCGTTTATGGTACATCTCCTTCGGTTGTGCCCTGGATGTCTCTGTGCTGTTGTTGTAACACATTATCCTGACTGGTGCGAGCCAGCGAAAGGCCCTGTTTGACGAGCAGCGCTGCTCAGATGGCTGAGGAGTTAATGCCGGGTTTTGCTTTTACAGGTTTGATGCCAGGTGATGAATGCCGCGGGGGAATTACCCCTCCGATTGAGTACAGGCCAAGCCGGAGGATTGCGTTTAGGCCTCCAGCGGAACCATCCGAGGACAGGATGGCAGGCACTCCATCAAAAATTAACCGGGAAAATGACTTTGTGGTTAGTACGGGCACCCACCGGATTTAATTACTTGTTTGTTTAAAGCTGTTTTCCACTGAGCCGTGCGTACGAATGAGCCTGCAGAGCACAGAAGGCACAGCAGCCTGCCTGAAATAAAAACCTCCCGGTACGCTCCGAGACACGCCGAGCTTTGCCAGTTTATTAGAACCCAGCGTGATGTCATCCATCATCCTGGCATCCTCCTCCTGCGAGTTGCCTTTTGAGGCCCAGCTCTCGGCTTCACTGGGGGAGCCTTCCAGTGTCTGTGTTCAGTCACTGCCAGCCTTCAGCAAGGCAGGCTCTTAATGGAGAAGCCTTTCAGATGAATGTTGTTAATCCCAGCATTACTGCTCATTAACGAACACATCCTTTCACATGGAGTTGTTACTGGGAGTCGGAAAGGGCATTAAAAGATCAGTCGGAAATTTATCATGGAGCTGACTCGGATATGAAAAAATGAGCAGCGATGCCATACAGCTGTCTTATTCAGCACCGCATAGTGGAAATGTTTATTAGCTAATATAATTATAGAACTGCGGGATCACTTTTTCAAATCAAGTCCTTGGAAAAGGAGAAGTGCAATAAAGGTGCAGGATGAATTCCGTCCACGTTATGATTGCATAGGAATATTTTAAAAATTGCGGCGTTCTGGGGCTCCATGTGGTTCGGCCTTGCAATTCCAAAAGCGTTTTCTTTTTAGCACAGGGTTTGCTCGGGGGGGTGATGTGCAATCTGCAGGACTCCCTCCATGGCACATTTCTAGCACATCTACCATTAGGGTCTCATCATAAATTCCAAGGCCCTCAGGCACAGATAATCTCAGAAGTAACTTTGAGTACCCAAGGTTTTTCAGTCAAAGATGGGTAATTTAACACTTTTGCGGCCGATATAAAGTAAAGCAGGGAGAAGAAGCAGTTTCCTGTCTCTGAAACTATTGCATTCAACAGGGGCAACCTAAGAAAGGTTACAAAACGGAGCTAGCCGATTTGACCTGTGTGGTAGCGAGTAGCTTATTGGTCCATGGGTTTCATCTAGTGCTTTTTTGAAGGAAGCCAGGGTATCGACTTCCACCAAATGGCCGGATAGCTTGTTCCACACTCCCACCATCCTTTATGTAAGGAAGTCCTTCCTGTTTTCCAGTTTTCTTGACGATGACATAAGCGCCCCCACACACCGCTGCCTTCAGTGGAGTGTGTGTGCTATGTCAATGTCTTGTTCTCGCCCTGTAGCTGAATACACGCACACACCATTCTAAAGGAATTGCAGCCTTTACAATACTGTCCCAGCCAGCAACAGTGCACGAAAATGGTCATTGTACTGTTTTTATTATAGTCTTTTACCCTATTGTAAAAGAACTCTGTTGGTATTTTAAATGTTCAAGATATGGTCTGTTGTTTGCTCTCACTGCTTGATTGTTTGTTTGGTATTAAAATATAGGTTGTCCTCCCAGAGATTTGGGGTTTGTCCTCACGAACTGCTTATTTCAAAAGCAGTTTGACCTCAGAACCTTACAGAAGCAATTTATATACCAAGGAATGAGTCAGAATCCGATAAACACAAACAGAAAAACATTCTGGTGAGCTAGGTGGAAGCAGCAATATTAAACAGTTTACTGCTTCTTTGTGAATTTTATCAGCTTGCTTGCTCTCCTAGATGCATCTTTTATTTGTGCTGTAAATTTTTTTTGCCTGTATAGTTGCCTACAAGATAGAAAGAGGTGAGGCACAGCCAGAGGAGCTGAAGAATGAGTGGACAGAGTGGTACAGTAGGTAGGTTTACCGAAAGTATTAATAATAAACATATAACCCCTGCATCTTACTGCTTCAGAATGCACTTCAGTGTGCAAAAAAAAACTTACATTTGATAATAAAACAAAAATATTTTGATCTGGTAATTAACTGCTGTAATTGGTCCGTAGGAAAAAGAATACAGCCACAACAATAACCTTTAGGCTGGAAGTTCACGTTCAGCTGGTTTCTTAACCTACATGGATTTGAGTTTTTTCCAATTTTCCAAGCCCACAGCAGAATGATACATAATGCTTTCAGCAGGATTGGGGCCCAGCTGAGTTGAAATTGAAGAACATGACATCCCTTTAACTGTAATGAAAAGCCCTGTAGAATAAGGGCCAGGCAGCTGTCCCTGATAAGATGAAGCTAAGCAAATTGCAGTCTTCTTTTGATTAGTAAAGTGCCTTCTTATATTGTCTTCTTATGCCCTGACAAGTGCAGATCTGTGGGTGCTTGCAATTCCTGTGAATAACAAAGAAACTATTATCTCTTGCACATTAAGTGAAACGGTATACCTTGCAAACCTAAGATTGATCCATTAATAGCTATTTGCGGATTTTTTTTAAAAAAATGTTCTCTAAATGTCTCTTTTAGGTGCTTTTGGGGATTTAGTAGACTGTTGCATATAGTAACATTTATGGGGTCTTCCATTAAAACTTACTTCGCAGGCTTAAGTGCAAGATCCTAATACAGCATTGAATTCTGACATGTTTATACTGCATTACTTGTGACAGATTGAACAGACATTTAGAGAAGTTCACTTGATTGATTTGAGGCTCTGCAAGAAAAGCCTGTATATCCTGAAATCAGACCTTCCATCTCCCTAAGACAGTGCCCCTGTGTTTTTACCTTGTGCTAACCGTTCTGATATCAATAGCAGTGATGGAGAAGAACAGAGCATATACTGTATGCTACAGTATGAATAGAGTGAGTGGCGTTTGATGACATTCCTCATAAAGACTCATTCTCAAATTGCATATGTGGAAATGCATGTGTTTGTACTAATTATTTTAAGAATGTTATTGGATAGATACAGGTACCTGGACAGTACCATCCAGGTGGGTAATTGGAATTGGAAAAGTACCACAAGGGTATACACTAGGGCTGCTGCTCTTCTTAATAAGTATCAGTGATATACAGTAGATTCCAGCATAGTTAGCAAACAAATTAAATTTGCAGGTCACCCCAAAATTGAGGGATTAGAAAACATTGTAGAAACAGAAAAAACAATTCAGAAAGATTTAGGGTGAATTCTGCCTGGGTGCATAAATGGCAGATGACATGTAATGTGACGTGCAGAGTGGTACATGCAGATAACCAAAAACTGTAAATATACTGCTGGAGACATTTTTTTCCCCTTCCCCTTAAAAGACAGGAGTCTGTCTCAGAAGTTAAAAGAAGTTTTTAGTTCATGCGCATGGGAGTGCAACACACAGAGATGATCGGTGTCTTTTTCTCAAACTAATTTAACTAGAACAGTCTTTCAATTTTTTTTCCTGTTATCTAACACACTTCCCTGTGTTTACACGATTGGCAGTGTTCCAAAATCACACACATCTTCCTATCTCCCTGTTTGCTAAAGATAACGTCTTTTAATACAATTGGTTACTTAGGTTCGTAGCACGCATACCTACTGTATATAACAGAATAGAATTACATTGTAGCCCTGGTGTCCAGCAAACCAGTTCTGAATGTCCACCTTATAAAAAAGTGCATCTTCTGCAGGAAAGGTGTGGACAAAGTTCACGGAGTCCCTCGCAACTATACTGTAGAATGGAAAACTGAGCTTGAAGATGCTACCCATCTCGTTTTCAAGCTCAAGACAAGGCGAGAAAGTGGGAAAGCCACACTGAAGATTAGGTGGATGGTTGGAAGTGTAGTATTCAAATCAGGGGATGTTACGTTAAAATCACTTAATTAGTACATGTTGTACAGCACTACATTTTTGTACTTGTATGATTTTGCTACTCTGGAATCAGTCTAGATATGAGTGACCAGGTACATTCCTGGGCTACTTGGAGGCTAAAAGAACTAAACCATTTTAGCCTCAAACAGACAACAGTACGCAGGGATCTGATTAAGGAGTTCAAAATCTTCAAAGCTTAACCCATTGGGCTTCGTCACAATCAACAATGAAACATCAGCCAGTGGACATGAAAGGTAACTTCACTGAAGTGATTGTAAAACTGAAGGGAGGAGGGAATTCTTCACACACAGGGTGGTGGGAGTCTGAAACAAGCTACACGTTGTTGGAGCTGATCCCAGCTGAGCTGGCGTTTGATGAACCAGGTATGGGAAACACTTGGATCATTAAAACCCTACCAATCAAAAGCGCTAGATGGGCTAAATGTCTTTCTCTGTCTTGCAACATTTATGAGGGATTGTTTACAAAATCTTCACTTTCATTGCGTTTATCAAGCTTTAGAAAAGTGAGCTTTTTGATCTTTCTAAAAGAATCTCCCTTTTGCTGTCGAATCAGCTTGTCCGTCTTTGTGAACACTGTATATATATATCTAAACGTACAATATCTCTCTGTTAGAGTGATAACAAAAAGCCTGTATACCCTCAGGGGGATGTAGGAGAGGCAGCTATCACAGGCCATCATAACCGTTTCTAGGCTTGTTTGCATGTTGCATCAAACCACAAGATGGTAATGATAGGATACTTACTACAGTGACATGGAAAGTGCTTGTTACAGAGGCTTACAAACCCAGCACGGCGATGCAGGGTAGAGCTTTCTCGAGGTGGCATGCGGAATGCTAACAAGCAAAGCACAATGGCTTTATTGTGTTGGCCTGGCTCCGAACACAGGACTAAGAAGCGCCAATTAAGCGTTGCCTGCTGAAAAGTTTCAACGTCTCCTATTAGTGGGCTTGGGTAGTCCAGCTCCTGCTGGGTCGCAAAAGGGCCCCCTGCCCTCTCAATTATCTGTACATTTATTGGGCAGGGTGCTCTCCTCCTTACCCCCATGCTTTTTTGGGGAGGCCTTTTCTACGTTTTATGACAGCTGCACAATAGTTTGCTGTTTGTGAGGTGTGCGTGTGTGCGGTGAAGGGGAGCGCAGTACTGGGCAGTACTGGGCAGTACTGTTCTTTCTGGGGAAACGTGAAAGCCGAGCTGTTTATCTTTTTAATGCCAGGACACAATCCTTTCAAGCCCTGCCCAGTAAGTGTGATTGGTTTGCTGAAAATGTCTGCAAACAAGAAGCAGAATGACAATATTTTACAATTATGTTATTTACATAGAGTTCCAATATTTTGGAGAACATTTAGGGTACATTCTTGAGTCGCATAGTAGTGCCCTACTCTTGTTGTTTTTTCAGCCTATTGTGAGTGTGACATATCCTGGGCTATCCATAAAATTAGCTGATGCCAACTATTGGCTGCACCCCTGTAAATAAACCTTTTCTATTTAAATTAACCACATCTACAGAGACCGACGTAAACAGTTGACAGCTATTTCAATGAGGATTAATTTTTTTTTTTGCAGAGTGCAATCGTTATTATTAGCAATAATTAGTTCTGTTTTTTTGCAGTTTGCAGATAATCTGTATGTTATATAAGGTGACAGCAGTTGCTTATTCTTATTTTTAGAGCTGATTTGATATACCACTAAATATTTGAATAACCTTAGTTTTTCACTAATAGCAACCAGACGTGATGTGCAATTTATTATATGTGTTGATTGTTATTGATGACACTGGAATATGTTTTAGAAGGAAACAAAAATTGACACTGCTTTAGCCTAACAGTTATATTATCAAGAGTCACTTGAATATATATTCATGGTTTCCTGCAGTTGTATACCGGCCAGACTCACTCGCCTGGCCACACAAATGCACAAATGCCAAAAAGATTTACAAGGATTCACACTGAAAAATCGTTCTGCAAATCATGTGCCAGCCAGCAGCCGCAATGGCACATAACTGCACAGAAGTGGGCATTAGTCTCAAGCATTGGGACCAAATCTCACCGTCTCACTTCTTGGACTGAAAACTGCTCCCATTTGCATCAAGTCTTTGTGGATTAAACCAAAAACTAAAGCAATGAGCACAACATTTTGAAACTGTTGTAGGATTGTGCAATTCCGTTCCTAGTAAGCGTTAATTAGCCAATGTGTTGTTGTTTTTTTTGTATATGAATCAAAGTAACCATCAGTACAAATAGTATGCATTTGCAGTTTTTAACAGAAAAAATCCCACATGAGGGTTTTGCTCCCTTGAGAGCTACAGTATGTTGTAATTCTGGCTGCTGAATCATCGGGCCACAAATACTGTCTCTTTTCATTGTAAAGCTGGTGAGAAACAAAATTTCTTGAGAATAATAAACGGAGGGGAAGCCACTTAATTTTCAAAGAAAAAAAATAAAGACATGACCTCAATGAGTGCAAGGTAATGAATGGCTCCTCCAAGGCAAAATGAGCAAATGAATGTGTATTTCAAGCACAAAGCTACTCCTCAGCAGTGTCAGGGGTTGCTTACATCTTTGATTAATCCTATATAATCCGACTAGTTATCTTGGCCAACTAACGTCTTGTTCAGGTTAAAATTGTTTAACTACAATAAAAAGATACTGTAGCTAGTTAGTTCACAAGCTATCTTGCAAGATATTTTTTTTGGGGGGGGTAAACCTTTGCAAGACTTTCCTAGTTCAGTGGATTCATAAATGAACGGAATTTCATTCAATATTGTGGGGAGCTTATTTTGTGACTATTTAAAAGCCAAAACATTTTTGCAATGCAAAATTTAGTTCCTTTGAACCGGGAATGTATCGGACTGATAAATCCTCTGGAAGGGAGTGCTTGTTTTATTTGTTGAGTGAATTAAAGTAGGTGTTGTGCATATGACCGAGACTGTGCCTCTGTGGCTAGAATTTATAGTGCAGTATTTGTATTCTTGATTTTAACCAATCAATAATTAGCTGGGAGGAATTTAATCCTTCTGTCTGGAGCCGCGTGGAGATTACTTTGATCTTATGAGA